ATTTGGGGACCATTCCACAGGGAATCTATACCCAGAAGGCTCTTCTGTAGGAAACAGGAAGAATGGGCACATGGGCAAGGGCTCCAGCCACACTTAGGAGTACACGGTCGTGGGCCACGTCCAATGGGGCTCTGCAAGGGACCGCTGGTGCCGAACCTCCCCCGTCCATCAGGACGAGCTCCTGGCCTTTTCCTTGTATTGAAGGTAAAGGTGAAGGTCTCAGCTGTTAAATTCCCCTTCTGTGCCCAGAAGTAGGAATCTGCAAGCTGCTGTATTAAACCAGTAGAGGAATTTTAAAACAAAGTACCATATAGCTAACGTGTACTGAATATGCATGAAGCGGGGTATTTGCTTTATCAAACCCAAGTGTCCCCAGCTGTTCTGTAGGAACTTGGTCAGTTGTCATCTTAATCTATCAGTGAGGACACCCAGGCACCGTGAGAACAGTAACTGCTCCGAGCTCACGCAGCCGCTGGCTGAACTGGGGCTTCTGGCTCCAGAGCTTGCACTTAGCTGTTGAAATCTGCCGCCTCCCTGAGGACTTTTAGAGCATCGGTTGCAGACGCTTAAGGGTTTTGTGCTGCAGGACTTTTCAGAGGCTTTACTACACAGTGTGCATTGTCACTCTCCAAAGGGTGGTTAGAAGAGGCACTATTTCCAAGTTCATTTGATTGTTTATTTTATTAGTGTATGTCTGCGTTACATAGTAATTATGTTTGTTTGGGGGATTTAGAACGTATACATATGATGTCTTGATCATTTTTGATCCCCTTCTCCTCCCTACCTCTGTCCTCTAGATCTGCTCCTACATCCTCTTTTTTTTTTTCTGAGACTTGGTCTCCCAGGTAGTTCAGGCTGGCCTTTGAACTCACTATGTAGCTGAGGCTGGCCTGGAACCAGTGGTGATCCTCCTGCCTCAGCCTCCTGAGTGCTGGGGTGACAGTTGGTGGCATGCACCACCAAGCCCAGCTCCTTTTTGTTTCCTTTTTGACAGTATCCTCGGTCTCTTTTACTCCAGGCACATTGCACACAGAGGAGCAGAGGCCTGAGGCAAGCTCACAGGCGGTGTGAGGGGTGGCAGGGCGGCTTCCCCAGGCGCTTCTCCTTCTCGGAAATGTCTGTCTCCGATTCCCTATCTCTGCTTTGTTTTGCTCTTCAGATTATTTATATTTAGGTTTCTCATATGACTGATCACAACATCTCTTTTTGAGACAATTTCTATTAATATCTGTGAGAACTAATGTTTCATGTAGCATTAGAGAGGGGCCTCTGTGTTTGGGTTATCTTAGTTATTTCGTTGAAATTTTTTTCAAAATGAGCTAGTGCTTTTAAGAGTTTTATCTCTGGGGCTGAACTAAAATTCGAAGTCCCAATACAAAAACAAGCACAGTTTTGGTTCTCTTCTTAGCTGCTTTTTTAGGTTGCTCTGCCGGGTTTGCTTTCCTGGTGTGGGGAGGGGCAGATCTGGAGCTCAGGGGAGCCTGGGGATATTTAGGAGATTCAGTTCTGGCGGAGCCCTCGGATTTCCTCCTGTGGTGTCTTGGGAAGCATTTGCTGGTTTGGTCTCAGCTGGTCTGGTGAGCAGACGCCGCCCCCTGCACCTCGGTGGCCGCAGGGGGTGATCCTCAGCTTGCCCACTGCCGCCTGCCAGGGTGGTTGTGCCAGGCACTGCGCTCTGTGCCTGGGGGAGCGCTATGCCCACACCTCGGAAGAAAGGGTGCCCTGCTGGGCCTGGCGGTGACACTGACCTGCGCACTGCACAGCGCACCGGCAGCTTCGTGGGTCCTCATTTCAGTGACTCCAGAGGAGGGAGCCGCACCCTCAGCAATGCTGTCAACTGTCTCGGAGGGAGCAGTTCAGTGACGGGATTGTCACAGGGGCGACAGCCACCACCTCTATCTATCCCCAGACAGCCACACTGCTCCAGAGTGAATCTTGCCCAGTAAGCCCCTCGGCCTCCCCCTCCCCCATCCCTGTCCCTGTCCCCACCCCTGTCCCCGTCCCTGGCCCTGTCCCTGCCCCTCACCCTGCCCCTGTCCCTGCCCCTGTCCCCATCCCCATCCCTGCCCCTGTCCCTGTCCCTGTCCTTGTCCCTGCCCCTGCCCCTGTCCCTGCCCCTGCCCCTGTCCCTGTCCCTGTCCCCACCCCTATCCCTGTCCTTGTCCCTGCCCCTGTCCCTGTCCCTGCCCTTGTCCCTGCCCCTGCCCCTGTCTCTGTCCCTGTCTGTCTCTCTATCTCTGTCCCTGTCTGTGTCTCTGTGGAGTCATCTGCTCCACTTCCTTCATAGAAATTACATCCTACAGAATGCAACCTTTTTTATTTGCATGACTTTTTTCTTTCAGCAGATTCACATTTATTTTTCTCATGCATGACGTTTGTGAGGTTCATTCATGTTGTAGCATGTATTGGTACTCTCTCTTTTCAGGACTGAGTAACGTTCCATTGTGTACATACATTGCCGTTTCTTTGTCCACCTGCCTGCCCATGCCATCCTCAGCGAAGCTGGGGTGGGGAGGGGAAAGAGCCAACCCAGGGCACGGCACTAAGCCAGCTACCATCGTTGCTCATCCTGCTGGCAGCTAAGGATGCTCTGAAGGCTTCGACTCGCCTCACCCTGCCAAGGGCGGGGGCGGGGCACCGGGGAAGAAGTTGGGGAGGCAGGAGTCCTAATTCCCCAGCACTACCGGCCAGAGCCGAGGGTGGCAGTCAGAGCCGGCCCTCAGGCTGGAGAGGCGGTGTGGCCGGGACAGTTTGTGAGGAGGGCCAGGCCGGCACAGGCGGGCACGTTCTGCCGGCTGCCAGTCCACAGGCAGACAGGGCGCAGTCAGGGCATCTGAGTGACCTTTACCCACACTTCTCCTCCAGCCGAGAGGGGGCGCTGTGATCAGGAGGACGCTCTCAGTTCACCCCAGTGTCACTCATTTCCCCCGTCCCTGGAGAAGCCGTAGCACGCCCCGGCTCGTGCAGTACACAGCGCAGCCCTGTGCCTCTCCAGATGCGGCAGATGCTCATCAAGAGGGTACCAGGTGCGTTCCCAAACCTGCTTACGTCAGTGGTGGGGTCAGTCAGAATAAATGAGATAGAATGGATAAGACGAGCATGAATTAAATTGAAGGCCTTCTAATTATGCGCAAGGACAAAAATGGCCATTTCTAAGAAAACTCAGATGAATACTTTGGAAAGACAATTTGCTAAATATATGTTGTTGAATTGGATATGATTAAAACTGTAAAATGTTGAAAGAAGGTGGGCATGGTGGCGCATGTGTGTAATCCCAGGACTCAGGAGGCTGAAGCAGGAGGATTGCCTTGAGTTTGAGGCCATAGTGAGTTCAAGGGCAGCCTCAACCGCCTTGTGGGGCCTTGTCTAAAAAAAAAAAAAAAAAAAATTAAAACAAAATGTTGAAAGATTTTGGTAAAATGTAGAAGAATCCTGCATTCAGATGGATTTGAATCGTTTCAGGTTTTCTCTCTTTGGCAGGCATTGCTGACTCAGCAGCTGTCTTCAACCCCTTTCTCTCTGGTCTGTCTCTGTTACAGAGGCTGAAAAGCTAAGTGTGTGAATTCCTAGCTTTCTTCAGAGCTGGGTGTGTCTCTGAACCAGTTCTCACTAAAGAATAGGTGAAAATCTGCTGGGCAAAGGCCGGTTTTGAGAAGAATTTCTTTGATGATCTAAAGAGAGATACTTTATTTCTTTCCTGCCTTGAATATAGATGTAATATCTGGAGATGCAGCAACCATTCTGTGACCATGAGCCTGTAAGTCAACATCTAGGAGAGAAGGGTAGAAAGTCAGGGGATCACTGGGTCTCTGATGGCACCATGAAGCCTCAGCATTGGTGCTGGAATGTGGTCTTTAAACCATTTTATGCACAGATGATTAAATGTGTGCATTGTTTTGTTGTTACTTGCAGCCCCAAACATTCCCAACTGGTGCAGTCTCTTCAAAGAATTTGGTTTCAAAATGCGTAGATGGTGCATGATAGGTGTGGTTTAAATAAGAAAGGTGATGTGCAGCTCCAGCCAGGGGACCCACCCTCAAAGGCATTGGTCATCATCGGGCGCTGATGATACTTCTGTGTGTCGTAGGTTAAAATGATATCTGCATGGGCAGCGCCAGGCTCATACGGTGCCATTGTACAGGACACCCAGTTAGCCCTCCTGAGAACTGTCAAGCCATGAGAAGGAAGGGAGGCCACTGCTCGGAGAGATTGGAGGGGCATCACGGCCAGATGCAGTGTGGTAGCCTGGACTGGACCCTGGGATCGGAAGAGGACATTAAGGGAAGATTTGGCGAAATCCAAATAGAGCCTGAAGTTTAGTTAGCAGCAGTCCATCAGCGTCTGCTGAGGCACATGGGAATTCTCTGTCCTGGTGTTTGGAGAACAGGTCACAGCGACGGTCCCGCCCTCGGCAGTCTACATTTCTCAGCCACTCTCTCCCAGGGCTGCTCATGGATTTTAAGAAATTATTTTATTTATGTATTTATTTAAAATTTAAATTTGTTATTTACTTATTCTAAGTTGACATAATTAAATGTTCACTAATTAGTAAGTTAATTATTTTGCTGATTTGAATTTACATTTCATTTCACTTCTAGGTCCTCTTTATTTTCTGGAGGGGAGTTGAACGCGTGTGGGGGTCAGAGTTGGGGGCGGCTGTCCTTGTCTGTCATGGCCGGCACCGCAGGGGCCACCCCTGACCCTCTGGTCAGAGCAGGCTCGGGAGGGTGTGGTCCACGGCTTTATGCTTGGCGTCTGGTGTGGCCGGGGGGTGGGGGGCAGTCAGGCTGGTGCACAGCGGTTGGTACGGAGATGAGAGTGGACGCAGGATTGGCTGGGCTTCCTGGGCGCAGTGCCGTGTTCTGGCGGAAGACACCGAGCTGCTCTGCGTGCCCCCAGAGCTCGAGGCATCTGTGCCGTCATTGGACACCCGCCTGGGGGCGCAGCCGGAGAAGAGCAGAACCTACACTCAGAGAGGTGGCTCATTGACACAGCTCAGCGGCTGGGGCCCAGCCAGGCCAGGTCTCTGGCCTTTTCCCTGCAGCGAGCTGATGAATTTCCCCTTCTTCTTTTTAAAGTGACATGAAGCTGGATTTCTGTCTCTGTTACTTTCAGCCACAGGAGTTTCGCTGGCGCAGGCACCATTTCTAGTGTTCCGGTGTACAGTGTCGTCCCGTCCTTTGCCCTCCTGTGGGCCTCATCCTGAAACCACACACAGCCTGGGCCCGCCTGTGTCCTCAGCCGCACTGGGTGAGCATCCTCCCTCTCGCTTCCCTCCCTGCCTCCCTCCCTTTCTCCCTTCCCCACACTTCTCCTTTCCCTTCTCCTGGTACTCGGGTTCGAACCCAGGGGTGCTCTACCGCTGAGCTGCGCCCACAGCCCCACCCCCTTTCTAACTAGAGACAGCCTTTCACTAATTACCTAGGGTGACCTCAGCCTCCCGAGACGCTGGGATTTCCGGTGTGTGTCACCATGCCTGGCTTGCGCTGCCTCTTTCTGGGCTTGAGCAAGGTATTACCAGGGCAAACTCGTCAACTTCTCAGACCTCAGTTTCCTTATTTGTAAGATGGGAATAAAAGCCGTACCTCAGAGGGCTGTCTCGAGAATGAGATCTGGCAGTGCACACATGGCGTTAACACAGGTCCGCACGAAACACTCACATTTTAGTATTTTTATCACCGTTACTATTAATAAATGGCAAGGTGATTGCTGGCAGTACTCCCAGCTTTCTCTTCTTTGTATATTCCTCAATGCCTGCTGCATAGTTGGAGGTTGGAAAAAATTTTAAAAATATTCCAAAGTATGTTTTTAGGAATAAAAGGACAAGGAAGACAGAACTTATGGCCTTTAGTTCCTCAGGGATTGAGGGAACCATTGTCTGATCAGACTGTCTCAAAATAAAAAATAAAAAAGTGCTGGGATATAGCTCAGTGGAAAGGCCTTGGGTTCAATCCCAATCACCACCCCCACTTCCCCAAAAAGTTCAGTCAAGAAGGAAGGTAGAATATACCCAAAATAATACAGTACAGGCTCAGTTCATTCATGCAACATTCACTTTACTGAGCACCTACTACATGCTGGGCACTGCGCTAGGAGAGCCACTGTGGATGAAGACAGACAAAGTCCGGTTCTCATGGAGGGCTGACAGTAATGACCACCAGCTTCCCTATAGAGCAGGAGAAGGGGTATTGGATTCATAGAGTCAACCCGGTTGTCAAAGCCCGTGTGTCCAAAAAGAATCTAAATTTTGTGGAATATTGGATGGCTGGTTTGAAAGAAAAACTTTCCCAGATAATGAGATCCATCCAATGGCCTCTCTCCCATGGGTCACTGCTGGATTAAAATTCAAACACAAACCACTGGCATCAAAATTGTCACTATTTAAAAGTAACCGCTTTTAGGATGCATGATTTTGTGAAAAAAAATTTAGTGCAGGGAGAAACAGTGTCTCTTGTTACTACTTCTAGAACTCGCCTAAAAAACTTAGATTTCCCTTTGCCTTTAATCTTTATAAAACAAAATCACCGAGGAAGCCAGATTTGAGCCATTTCAGAATTGCAGACATGCAAAATCTTTATGAGAAACATTTGACCTGATTTGTTTTGCTAATTAACAAATAACCCTCCCCTGAACGCTGTGTTTCACCCGACAGCACATTTTTAATCAAGGCATAAATTGTAGCAAACCAAGGTTTCTAAGAGAACCCGGAAAGGCCACCTCCACAGGAAAGATGCGTGTGTCACAGCAGTAACGCAGCGGGGACCTGGATGAGAGGAGCCGGGAGCTAATTTGCAGAAGGGGAGCAGAGAGTCCACGATGAAATAACAGCCTCCTGTCCTGTCGGAAAATGCGATAAATGGCCACAGGCAGATTGCAACCGGAGATTGCTGCCAGTGCGAGGTGAGGCCGAACTGCCCCTCCAGGGCTGAAGGGACCCAGTGGCATTAGGAGCAATTAAAGGAGAAATAATTTGGGAGAAAGAAAAGAAGAAGGCATTCAGCGGTGTGTTTCCACGTGTGCTGTACCTTTTGGGCCACGTAGCCTGTGTGCCTCATTCAAGACAGCAGTTAGAAGTGCCAGGGACAACCAGGGCGCAGCAGCACATGTTTGTAAACCCAGCACTCTGGGAGGCTGAGGCAGGAGGATCACAAGTTTGAACCCAGCCTAGGCAATTTAGCAGTGTTGCAAGACCCTGTCTCAAAATAAAAAAAAGAAATAAATGGCTGGAGGTGTGGTTCAGTGCCAGGGTCATAGAGAGGAAATTTGCCATTGTCCCAGGGAATGGAAGTGCTAAAAAGAGAGTTGAGTTGAGCTAGGGTGTTGGGTTGGGCGTGAATAACACAGGAAAGTGCGCCGTGATGCACACAGTGCCCTACACCTCCATGACACCAAAGTACGCGGCCTTACAGGGGCCTCGCTCCCTGCAGCGTCGAGGGGAGAGTTGCGTCCTCAGCACGTAGGGCTGTTATTATTTCAGCGCATTGCTGTGTTTCCCTTCCGACTGGAAAAGTTAGTCTTTGATAGTTCCTGCGGCTGAAAATATCAGTCAGGGCTCACAGCAGTAAAGGCTCTGCTCGAAGAGAGAGCTTAGTTCCCATTCGTTCTCCTTGTCTCTCCCTCTCCCTCCCTTCTCCCTCCCCATCTCTTCTTCTCCTCTCTCTCCTCTCCCCTCTTTATCCCCTCTTCATTCTGACTGAGGTCACAGTAGAATCTCAAATCTGCATGTCAGGTAAAATGTTAAAAGTGATTTTAAAAAAATTGTAACACATTGCTATTAAAACTTTAATCACTACAAAAATATATAACCTCAAAAGATAAATGTCCCTCATCATTCCGTTTCCCATGGGAAATGACTTTGTGTAGTTTGGTGTATATGGTTCTAAATGTATTTTTAAAGATACACACTACCCACATTATTATTTTAACAGAAATGGAACTGCTCATGTACCTCTTCTGTGCTTCCTGTCGGAGGATATTTGTGTTCCATCCGTGCAATATCTTTGAACACTTTGGTTTGGACAGTTTTCCACACGCTGGTATGCTTTGCTTGCTTGATAAATGTGACACAGTGACATTTCCCTATTGGGGGTGCAGATCCACTGCTTGCCTTGTTTAATGACCGTAGTCGTGTAGGATCCCATTCCATGGATGGATCAGTATTTTTTCACCCATTCCTCACTGATGCACTAGAGTTGAATGTATAAACTTAGCGTCTCTCTTTCCACACACACATAACCTAAAAAGATGAAAGTTTATGGCACTTCTCTGTAGGGTTAAGGAAGAGAAAAATCAGGTCCCGTGTGTGTGTGTGTGTGTGTGTGTGTGTGTGTGTATGTGGTGTGCATGTAGATACACTTGCAGCCAGGATCTTTATAGCTGTATATGTGTGCAGTGGTGATATACTCTTTTTCTGTGTGAATTATTTAGATATGATTATCTGTATTGCACGGGTTGTGAGAGGACGATGGTGTTGAGAGGTAAAGACCCTCTCCTTCTGAAAGCCTTGATAAATAAGGAGGGGCTGAGGCTGCAGATTCATACTCTGAGCTGTTCAGGAGCAAGTGCCCACAGAATAATGCAAGACCCTGGTTTACATAAGAGAAACAGAGTGGCCACAAGACTCTGGCACTGAAGACAAGAGGATGGTAACAGGGAGGTTAATAAATGATGCTCCAGCCACGACAGCATTCCAGAACCCAGAGGGATGCTAGGAAAGAAAGCACTGTTATTCCACAGCATGTGGAAAGAAAAGCTGGCTAGAGATAGAAAATTGAAAGTAGGCTGGAAGGAAGTTGGAACAATCAGGATTGATATTTTATTGCCTGGTAATTGTGGGGTAAAATTAACAAGCATAGAGCACTCATGGTAAATTCCTTGTTTTGCCCACCACTGACATAGCTAATTGATCCCAATATCTTTTTTTTTTTTTTTCCATTTGAACAAACGGTGTAAGTCTCCCTTTCTTGTTGTTCAAGGCTGATTCAGATTAGTCAAACTGACTGGTGGGATGGCTATTTCCATCATAGGTTTAGAGACGTGTGTGAGGGTATGACAGTATTGCCCTGGAATGTCCCCCACAGGTCCGTGTATTAAAGGCTTAGTTCCCCAGTGTGACACTATTGGGAGGTAGTGGGACCTTTAAGAGGTGGAGCCTAGTGGGAGATTGTGGGTCATTGGGGGCATAGCCTGGAAGGGGAGAATGGGAAGCCAGGTTTCTTGCCTCTTTTTTTTTTTCCTGGCTGCCAGTGAGGCTCGAAGCTTCTGTCACGTGCTCCTACCCAGACTTGCTTTCTACCCAGACCCAAAGAAACAGGGCCGATGAATCAGTCATGGACTGAAACCTCCAACACTTTGAGCCAAAACAAACCTTTTTCTTTGTAAGTTGATTTAACTCAGGCATTTTGTACAGTAATGGAAAGGTGAGTAACACAGAGGGTTTGGGGTGTGGGTGCTAGCTCTGTCCAAACCTTTGTCTTCCAGGGGGTGTGAGGGGTGAAGACGATGGAAATCCCCAAACACAGCAACATGGAAGGGTGGGATAGAGAAGGAGTTTGGCATGGTTGAGAGTAGAAGTGAAGCCACTTGTTAATCCGGGAACCTTGGACAAGTTAACTACTTTTTCTTTTTTTTTTGGGTTTTTCTCCGGTACCGGGAACCGAACTCACGACCTTGCGCTTGCCAGGCAGGTGCTTTGCCGCTGAGCTAAATCCCCAGCCCCGTTAACTACTTTTTCTCAGACTCAGTTTCCTCATTTGTAAAGAAGGAAAAGAATACCCCATAAGACCATAAGAAACACTAAAAAATGAAAGGTACACTACTTGAAACAAAGTATCAGATAAACATTTTTTAACATTTCCTTTACCATCTTGTTTTTACCTATTCCTAATATATTTCTTGGACATTAGGTTAATTTGCATCATGGTGGAGTCTGAATGGCAGCTCATGGTGGTCTCTCCCTTCCTTCCTCCTCTTCACCATTTAATCTGAAGGACAGAGCCGTGTCTTTCTGACCAATCATTGTTTGAACGATGGGTGTCTGATCCATGTAGGTCAATCACAATATCCCATTCCCTGGCTGCTGTGACTGGTCCATGAATGAACATGTTACCCACGATGGTCCAATCAGAGTCTTTCCTTGGGCTTCTGAAGACCTGGGGAGGAAAAACAGGGTTCTCTCTGGCTAGGAATGAAGGGTCGTGCATCTGGCAGCTGTCACGTACCATGTCCCTGTCACCTCTCACATGCAGAAA